GCTGGAAGTTGAAAGAGTCACTAACCGTTTTACAGCTTTCTTCCTCACTGGGCAGGTGGCCAGGGGCTGGGTAGGAGCAGGAGCTAGGGTTCACACTGGCCAGAGGTTCCCAGGTGTTAAGAGCTTAGGAGGCACTAGAAGAAGTAACTGAGGCACATTCTAGAAACGCCTTCCTGAAAATCCTCTCCCAGGAAAGGAGACCCATCACGGGCTAAAGGGTAGATTAAGGCCACTTGACTGAATAGCAAGGGCTGGGATTCAGGTGTGGGGGATGGTAGAGAAAGCAGACGCAGAGCCTGCATGGGCCCCTCGCTGTCCTAAGCACACTGTGTATGTTAACTCCCCGGACTATTTTGAAGGCATGGAGAGGGGGGCACCCAGGTTTGCATGGGAGGCGTGGACTGGGGGTTCCCCTCGGCCTTGCCTCTGCCTGGTCTGTTCTCCTTGCCCCTCTGGAGTGTGGCCTGAGTTGACCCCCGCGTGCCTCTCGCCCTTCACCTGCCTTCCCTGGGCCCTCGGAGGACGCTGACGCAGGCTAACTGAATGCATAACTTTATTAAATAAATGCTTTGTCATGACAAAAGACAAAGATCAAGGAGTAACATAAATTATACGTTGAATAAATAGTATACAGCAATCTTCACTTTTTTAATAAAACGTGAGATCCTCTGGCTTTTTTTTTTTTTTTTTTTTTATTTCCTCAGGTACAAAATGCTAGACAGGAGGCGGGCCCCTCTGCATTCAGGTGATTTTTTTTCTGCCTTTTTTTTTTTTTCCCCACAAACTGGTTTTATTTGTCAATTTATTTTTTCATCCTTTTTCACCAGTAAAGATTATGAGCATTTATTTAAAAAAAAAGTCTAAAACAAAACAAAGGGAGATAGAATAGAGCTATGATATGTATGTACGTAAGACTAGAGAGCTACAGTAATATGTGTGGTGGTTATTGCTGTCTTCAAAAAAGAAAAAAAAAAAAACCGGTAGGCAACTCGGAATCTGAAGGAATCTTGTCTGACAACTGTCTATCCGTGTGGGCTACTGTGTGGTGGTGATGGCGGGTGGGCGGTGGCAGTGAGAGATCTGAGAGACTCAGGGTGGTGGTGGGGGACCAGAGAAGTTGGGGAGGGGAATGGCACAGGAGGCTGACACTCCCCACCTTCCCTTTCCCTGTCCAGAGAGAGGAGTTAGAGAAGAAGAGTGACAATGGCTAAACGGTAACTCCATTAGAAAACCAAGAAAGTATGTTTATAAAAAGAATCAAAAACCTAGGAGAAAAAAAATAAAGTGGAGAAAAGTGCATACGTCTTGCACTTTAGTGGTTTTAAAAATAAAGACAGTACAATGCCCAGTGGGCTGGCTGGCAAGTCCCCACCCCCTTTGCCACCACTTCTCAAAACTTAGCCTCCTTTCTCTAAAAATGTCCTCTTTGAGCCCAAGGCATGTTTCTCCTTGGCCCTCTAAAGTCCCTCTAAAGTTCCAACCTGCAGTGCAGCCCTCTGGGGGTGGGCAGTGGGAGCTGAACAGATGGAGGGGGGCAGCCCTGGGCCCCCTAGAGAGGGGTGTGGTAGGCATGTGGCCGCCCACAAGCTAGGTAGCGGGCGAGCTGAGGTGGGGCCCACCTCCCCAAGGGAGGCTGACCCTGCAGGATTACCGTGGAGACCACTGAGACGGTGATGGGAAAATGGGTGAGGAGACAGGAGGTAGACCACATGGGGCCTCCTGGGCCTCCCGTCCTCCCCTGTTGGGGTGAGGGGGTTTGAATGTCTCCAGGCCTGTCTGTCCAGGCCTGGCTGTCTGAGAAACCTTAGAGTCTCTTCCATCCCGGATGCCCTGCTCTGCCCAGGCGGGTAGGGAAGCTGTGGGAGAAGGAGGGTCAGTCCTGATGAGGCCCTCCTCAATCATCTGGCAGCAGTAGGAATGACAGGTAACTCCCTGCTGGAGTGAGGCCTGAGTCAAAGGGCGATGGGAAGAGGCCTACTGCTGGGTGGGTGGGGCAACATTTAGTCTTGAGGCCACAGAAAACTCCAGAGCCTAAGGCCTGGAGTCAAGAAGACCCTTGCTCGGGATCCCAGCTCTCAGCGTTTCCCACCAGCCTCCCCTCCCGCCCTGCCCTAGGGATGCTCCATCTTCCTCCATGACTCCCTCCGAAGCCAGGCCTCCCTCTTGGGAGGTTAGTCTCGTCTGTCATGAAGGTCCAGCATCCTCTAGGGCGTGGCTAGCTGAGCAGAGTCATGGCAAGTGCCGGACTCACACGTTTGGGGGAGTCAGCATGAACTCTGGACACCCGAAGACACTGGTGGGCTTAAACCAGGCCATATTCTTCCCCGCCTTGTGGCTGCTGGCAAAGAGCTGAAGGAAGGGGCAGACACCCATTCAGAGTCCAGTAAATAGCAGGCAGGAAAGGAGAGAACCCCTCTCAGGAACAGGTCCAGGTCTTGGGAGGGGTGTGGGGTAGGGTATGCAATTCCTGGCTCAGTCTTTTCTTAGGGGGAATGGCACCCCAGTATCCACTTGGCAGATCCCAGTTAGAGGACTGTTTGAGATCCACAGAAAGAATGGGCGAACAGAAGAGTGAAGTGGGAAAGGTCTACAATACTGGCCTAAGACACAGAAATGTGAGTCAGGGGTTTGGGGAGAGTCGTGCAGAGAGATGGGGCACATGGACGCAGCAGGTCAAGTAAGTCCTGGCGGCTGCCAGCCCCATTGGGCCCTTTGTCCTATGACAAGCGACCATCTCTCTTGTCCCAGCCAACTGTCCTGTCCGGGGGGTGGGGGTGGGGTGGCAGCGGCAGGAGACCCCCCCCACAACTTCCGTAGCCGCAAGCTTCCCACCAGCTAAAATCTTCTTGCTTGTCTGCTGTCCCTCCTCATGGCCCCAAGTTCGGTGTTGAAGTGGTCTCCATGGCGTCACACCATCAGCAAAGAGCAGAGAGAGCCGTGTTCACAGCGAGGAGGAGTCTCCTTTGCCAGAGTCCAAGCCCCCTTCCCTGGTGGGCTAGCTCCAGCCTCTGAGGACAGCCCTGCGGCTGCTGATTTGTTGAGGAAGTCAGCGGGAACGGGAATTCTCCTGGTTCAGAATCTGGCTGCCACATGCCAGCACCCTTGAGGCCTCCCTTTATCCTGGGCCTTTCTTCCATCCTCCACTACAGGGAGAAAGCCTGCACTGGCCTGGGGGGGATGAGGAGCTTGAAAGGCTCTGGCCCCAGTCCTTCATTACAGGGAGAAGGTGGCCATCCGAGGGCACAGTCTTGTCCCTCCAAAGGCACGGCTGGCCTGTGCTGATCCTTGCTCCTGGCCAGCGGCTAGGTTCTAGAACCTACCTCATTTCTCTCTGAGGAACTGCACCCCTATTCTCCTCTTCCTGTCCTCTGGAATCCCAAAGGGCTTAGAGGATGGGACCCAGGAAGTTGCTCTTGGCTTTGTCCCCCTTTCTGCCGCTTTGCTCGAAAGCTGGAAGGGAGCAGTTCTCCCCTCTTCGTCCCTCCGCTCCCTCTTCTCTGGCCGGCACAATCGCTTTTCCATTTCCCTGTATTTAAATCCATTCACTTCCATCCTGCCTGCTGCCATCTCTCATTTCAGTCTCTCTCTCCCGCTCTGCCGGCTTCAAAATGCAGGTTCTGCCTCTTTGAAAGGAAAAGGCTGGGCAGGACCCATGGGTCAAACTTGGACCTGATGTGTTCCTTTGGTGCAGGGCCCAGAGCCAGCGATTTCCGGAGGGTCTAAAGGCTAACTCGAGCGGGGCTGGGGCTGTGGGGCGCCCCATGGACAGCCCTCATCTACCTGGCTGGGTGCTTCCCATGGACGCACCTGCACCCGGGAGATTGTGAAGGCGTCCAACACCGTGGCCCACTGAGGGCTTGCATCTGCCGCTCCTGGGAGGCTGGCAAAAACGGCAGTTACGGGGTGTGTTAGAAGAATATGGGTTTTCTTGGTTTTCCCAGAATGAGGAAGCTCCTCAGAGTCCCCCGAGGAACTACTTTGAAAAGTTAATGCAAACCTTCCAAGGAAAGGAAAGAAGAAAGCAAAAAAGAAAGAACATAGACGTATATGCCTTACATATGACTATATGGAGCCTCGTAGAGAAGTCTGTACGAGGCCGCCTTGATTTCAGCCTATCCTCCCCCAAAGAGGCCATGCTGGTAGTGAATGGAGTGCCACGAGGGGCTGAAAGCACCCGTGTCGGCATGATCTAGTCCCCTTGGAAGAGCAGTCTCTCCATTTGGGGCGCGTACTGCTTTCCCAAAGTCCGCACCAGGACTGGAGTATGCATACAGACGTCATCTTTGTGATTCTGCTCCGGAAAACCTATCTATCTAACAGCATTCGGTTAGTCATTTGCTTTGTTTTGAGAGGAATGGAATGCATTTTAGTTTTCATAAGTTTTGGGGAGGGAGAACCCTCTGCTGGGGGAGAGGGGAGCGGGGGCGGGGTCAAGCCATTCAACTTGCTGGCTGGAGGTGGAGACAAGTTGTTTCCTTTCTCCCCTGTGACTAATCCAGACAGGAAAACCTCCAAGGGTGCCATTGAATGCCACACCTGGGGCCATACCTTCCGGTGCCCAAACGTCTCCCAACTCAGGCCAGGGCTGGACACAACAGGTGGGTCCAGCCATGGTCCTGGGGATCTTTCCTTCCTATCCACATTCTTCTTTCCTTCTTCGAAACTCAGTTTGTCTCCCCCTCTCCTCTACACGTTCACTTTCTTCCCTTCTCTCTCTCGTGTTCCTCCTCCCTTCCCCTCCCTGTCCATTCAACTTGCCTCAAAAAGAAAACTATTTTCGGGGGCGGGGGTGTGTGTGTGTGTGTCTCCTTAGCTGTTTGCTTCTCCGCTGTTGCCGGTTTGAAAGTTGAGACCTTGCTAGAGATTCCGAGGTCCTCAGTTTCCTCAAATAGATAGATATATGTATGTTTTTTTTTTTTTCCCTTAAATGAGATGAAATGAGTGGCGTCCTGGGGTGGAGGGAGGTGCTGGCTGGAGTCGGGGCTGGGGGTGGGAGGGGTGAGGGAAGGACGGGGAGGGGACGCGTCACTCAACGTTGCTGCTGTCGAAGGTGTGGCACTGAAAGTCCCCATCGACATACTCCATGCCTGGCAGCTTCATTCCGTACTTGTCCACGCACCAGCAGATGCCACGTTTGCGGCCACGGGAAGGCTTGCACTGGGGTGGGGAGAGCGATAGGCAGTGAGGATGGCGGTCCCCTGCCGCCCCCTTCCCCGGGGTGGGGGCTCTGCTCCTGCCTGGCCCTTGTTCTGGCCCTGCTCCTTGTCTTCCCTGTCCCAACCCTCAGGGTTCTGGGATGCCCCTGCACGGGGGACGGCCCCAGGGGGAATGCTCATTTAGACAGTCTGCCAGTGGCTAGCTCTTACAATCTCCTTTCTGTCCCCCATCCAGGGTCTCCAACTTGGGATTCTCCACAGGGCTACGTGATCTGATGATGATGATGGTGATGGTGCATCATTTCTACAGTACCAGACACTACTTAACACTTCCTGCAGAGTACAGACTGTAAGTGCTTTATAAAGATTAATCCCTAATCTGTCAAAATTGCGTAAGGACCGCAGGTACAATTATCATTTTGCATGAGAGACTGGAGGCAGAGACATTAAATAACTAGGTAAGGAGGACGAAGCTCAGAAGGGGGAAGCCCAACAATTGACTCAAGGGCGTCTGGCTCTTGACCCCCAACTTAGATGAAGGGAACCCATAGGGAGCATCAGGGCCACCTGGGAGGGAAATTGTTAGAAACGCAGAAGTCTCAGAGCCCATCCCTGAAACTCTGGGGTGGGACTCAGCAATCAGTGTTTTGATAAGCTTTCCAGGTGATTCCGATGCTCCAGGAACAGGGAGAACCACTGGCCTAAGGTATTAGTATTACTAATACTATACTAATACTAAGTGTACTAATACTAATACTATACTAATACTAATACTAAGTGTACTAATACTAATACTAATACTATACTAAGTATTACTGGTTTAACCAACAGCAGTGCTGCCCAAAGGGTAGCCTGGCTGTGAATGGGACGTAAATGATTAGCTGCCTCTGAACATTTGTTTTGCAGTCCTTATCTCTGTGCATGTGTTTATGTGTGTGCTCATCAGAAAACAGTATACATAGCATGTGAATGACACAGTGATATAAAGTGTCCTTTTTAAGGAATTCACGTTAGTGTGGGGGATCACTAAAACGGAAGCAGACTACAGTACAGGAGGGAGCGGGGAAAGTTCCGAGTGGGGTACTCGCGTGGATATTGGGGGTTCTGGAAACATTATTGTTAATGACAGAAACCGTAAGCATTGAGAGGAAAAGGTTTTCTGGCAAGTGCCGCTTTCAGGAGCCCCCTGAACTTGGGCGCGTGGGACGGGGGCGTACCTGCTTTCTCTTGTAGAATCCTTTGCGGTCACAGTTGGGCAGGTACACAGCGCGAGGCACCATGCGAGGGCTGGCTTTGAGCTCCTGCAGGGAAGCTTCCATGTGTCTACGGCAGGGGCCCTGTGTGAAGACGGTGGGGGTGAGAGATGTGGCAGGGGGTGAGAGATGTGGCAGGAGCTGAGAGGAAAGCATCTCTACATGCAGAATGCATGGCCCAGGGCCCTGGGGGCCAGAGGATATATGGAGAATTTTGTTCCAACTAGTCGCTCCCAAAGATTTCTCCTCTTTGTACCTGTCACGCTCCCTGGGTGTAGGAAGTGTGCAAAGCCTGCAGAGTCCGCGAGACTCACCTGCTCAGATTCTTGTCTCATCTCAGGGGCAGAGATGACCCGGGGATGGGCAGTGTTCTCAGCACCCCCCACAAACTTGGACTGGGTCAGCTTCTTTCTGCGGTCCTTCTTCACGGCCTCAGCCTTCAGCTCGGAGATGCGGGTATGCTTGGGCCGGAATATCTTGGGCGAGTAGGTCTCCTCTGCCATCTCGGAGGTGGTCGGTTCCTCGTGCTCATGGGAGTCTCTCTCTGCAGGGGAAGGAGGCAGAGGGTCAGTCTCTGGGGCAGAGCCTGAGGCTTGGAGGGTGTCTGCCCTCCAGGAGCTTCCCTGACTGGGGGGAAGCAGAAGTAGGATGGAAGAGTCAGCACTCGTCCAAGAGCTGGGACGTTGGTCGCATGATTGGAGTCCAGTGGAGCAAATCTAGGAAGACTTTGCGGGGTTGAAAAGACCAGGCTGATCAAAGGGGGTGGGTCGGACAGGAGGGAGAGGACATGCTGGGGGCAGGAAGGGGATAGTGGGAGGGAAGGGGTCCCTGGGGGCGCTCAAGCACTGGTGAGGGTCTTGCTCACCGAGGGGCTGGCTAGGTAGCCGGGCAGTGGCTGGGGTGGCCCAGAAGGGCACCAGGTGGAGATGCAGGCTGATGGAGGAAGAGAGGTGACAGCCCAGTTGGACAGGAGGTGATGTCTATCCCCAAGTGGGGTCTTCATGCTTCCAGGACTATTGGAACACAGATTTTGGGAAACCAGGAGCAGGAGAGTCCTTGGGGTCCAGACTAGCAGGGTGGTGGGGAGTATCACGGCGAGGAGGGGACCTGAGAGAGCCGGACATGTGGGTCTGGCAGGGGTGCAGTGCGGGTGGGTGGGGGACCTGGAACCCCAAGGCCCTGCTCTGGCTCAGGGCTGGGTCTGTGTTCTGGGCCCTGGGAGGCTGAACATAATTCAGCTCCAGGCCAAGAGAGGCGGACAGCTGGCTGGGACTAGAGCAGTTATATATAGGACAGACTTGGCGACAGTCTATACTTAGCTGACTTATGACCTTTAAAGAAGTAGGACTTTGTTCATTTATTTATTGATCTGATAATTCCAGCCCCTGGCCTTTTCTCCATCCACAGACTTCCAGTACATTCTTATCTCGCGGGCACCCTTCTCTGGGGCTCCCTTTCTCTTCTCGGCTCCTTGACCCTGCCAGCCTCGGCAGACCCAGAGTGAGGAGGGCTCCATTGCTCTTTCCAGGTGGGCAGGATGTGGCCAGGATGCCCACAGTAAGACTGGGTGTAAGGTGGGCCAGGCAGGGGTGTGGCGGCCTATCTTCACTGCCTCTTTTGTTTTCACATTTTAGAAAGAGAAGAATAGGGCTCTGGAGTGACCCCGAATAACTTGGATGAGATGAAGGAAAATCCTCTCCTCCACCCGCCTCACTGTCACCGGGCTCTCCAGGAACCATGGTGACAAGGCCCTGGAATGGAGAATAGAAGGAGAGGGATCCAAGGAAGGAGGGAGAGGAGATGCACAGGGAAGGAGAATCTTGGTGAGAAGACACTGTTTTGTGCCCCCAGGGGCAGGAACCCTCTCTCCAGGGGAAGTGCCAGGTGTGGGTTAAGGGAGATGTGTGGGGACCTGGCCTAACCAGGTCCTGACGGCAGGTGGCAGGAAACCCCTGAGCACCTGTTTGTCTCTTGGCTTGGGATTTGTCAAACTTAATTGAATAGGTATCCGGTCTTTAAGGCCCTGGCAGAGGCGTTCCCCGCCCTGAAGAAGCCTCCAGAGGTCTGCAGTGTTTTGGGCGGTTAGCTGATTTGGATCTTTCTCCACAGAGGAGGAAGGGAAGTAGTCACTGGAGAGGGAGATGATGGGGAGAGAGCAAACGGCAAAGCAATGGGTGGGCTTTCTCTGAGCAAAATTCAGTGCCAGGTCCCCATCCCCCACTTTTGGTCTTTCTGTCCTTTTCCCACCTTGGCTTGACTCTATGTTACGACCCTACAAACCTGCTGTGATTGTTCACCAGCACAGCGATATGCCTGGTAGGCAGAGGAGAGCCTTCTAGGGTTAGCTAAAGGAGGGATGTTTGGAGTGAAGCAACTTTCCTTGATTGTGGGACAAGCTAGCATGGGGTGGCGTGCAGAGGGGAGCAGAGCCTGCTTGGGGGACTCTGGACAAACCGAAAGACTAGGGCTCTGTGATCTAGTACGTAGGCCCAAATCCAAGGCTCAGGTCTCGGGGAGAGGTGAGTGGAGAGGAAAAGCTGACTGTGGCTCAGAAGGGTGGCTGAGCCTATCTTGCTGGGTGATCTGAGATGCCTCACTCAACCTCTCTGGGCATCACCTAGCATCCTGACCCTGAAAAAGCGGATGGCCACTGGTAGGAGAGAGGACAAGAGATGGTTGCCACTGAAAGGTGGGGGGGCATTCTGGGGGTGCATGGTCACACCCTTTCCCTAATCGAGATTGTAAGCAGATGAAGTGAGGGAAGACGGGTGGGAGGGCCGGGAGCTGACCAGCACCTGTGAGAGGGCTGGACGGCAACTCTAGAGGCTGCTTCAGCTGAGGCTGGAGGGCCAGTAAATTGTCCTCAGGGGCACCTGCGTGGCTGGGCTCTAGGGGTTCCCTCTTCCACCGGGAGATCCCAGGAAGGTGCTTACTCCCAGTGGCAGACAGTACCAGCTCCTGGAATCCTTCCACTAGACCGTTAGGTCCATCTCCCTGTGTCCAAGCAGGAACAAGGACATGAATGTGTCTCAGAGTACTCTTTCTAGTTCTTAAAGACATCTGGTCAGAGGGTGTCATGCCCTCCGCCATCAGATGTGATGCCACCTTTCACGGGGCTTCTCTCTCTGACCTTAGTGGACGTGGATGGAGGCATGCTAGCTCACTGCACACCGTGTACTGACAGCTCTTCTCAAGACCCTCCCTCTTCTAGGACCTTTTCTAAGAAATGCTGTGAGCTGCCCTTAACCTTGATTCACTCTTCCTGGGAGGAGGATGGGGCTGTTCACAGGGGCTCAGTGAACTTGGGAGCAAATTTCTTTGACCTTAGTCTTTTCTCTGAAACTGTTCTGGCCTTGGGGCTAAGCACATGTTGATATGGAAAACGGTGTTGATTCCCATATGTTCTTGTATGTTCCTTAAGGAACTCAAAGCACTTCTGCAAACCCTCTCTCCTTCCCTAGGGTCACAGAGGTAGGGTTCCTGAGGGCATGCCCTCCCCAGTTCACAGGCTTTTTGGCTGCTTCTGAAGGTCAGGCTTAAAGTTTTCATGTGCCTCCCGGTTTTGGTGCCACGTGACCCTGTGGGACCTGTTACACAGAGAGCAGGACAGTGGAGTAGCAAAGATACTCATCAGGGTTTTGTGGTCCCCTGCAGGCGCAGAGACCGCAGAAATGTAGCAAAACCCCATGCAGAGCTACGGAGATTAAAAGGCTGGAAAGTAAGACCAGAGTTGGAATGCCAGAGCCTGCGAGCCCTACTCAGCAGCTTCCTGGCCAAGTCATAAATAGGCTTTCAGTTTGGTCAGGGTTTACGTTTTATATAAGACAAGCAGGCACACGTAGACAGGTGGCTCCTGTGATCTTTCATCGAGAGAAAATGGACCAAGGTTGCAGAGGGGATTTAGGTGGATGAAAGGGAGGACTTCCTGGTGAAGTTGCCCTGCCCTTGAACAGCAAGGGAAGTTCTAAGTGCAGGAGGCTCTGGAGGCTGTTCCACAAGCAGGCCAATACCTCTCATGGCCAGTAGATGGCGGAGTAGACTGATGGCCACGCAACATATCCCCAGCGCTGGTTTCTGGGGACTGCAAGCAATTTTCAGATCTGGGACTTATGTGCTGCCCTCCCCGGCTTCTCTGACAGCTACCCCAATCCTCTCCTTCTGTGTATCTGCAGCACGCATTTCAGGAGTCAGGGGGATGGACGGGTGAGGACTGGAAAAAACCCATATACAAGGAGGGTGAGGGCAGGTATGAGAGCTGGAGGCTCAAGGGGGGACAAGGCAGACCTGTGCCTAGCCCCATGCTGCTTCTCTAATCTGTAGCTGAAAAGTAATCCGGGGTAGAAGAGAGACCTGTCTGGGGTCCCCCTTCCCACCTCTAGATGTCATTTTGAAAGGATTCTGTTGCAGATGGAAAATATGTAATGCTCAGTATTGTTCCCTCCTGCAAGGGTAGCAGAGGCATGGCCTGTGAATTTCTTGATCTCATCCGAAGACCACGGAAGCAAGGGCTACCACATTGTCCTGATGGTTGCCTTTCAGGTGGGTTCTGAGTCTGGTCTGCCTTCCAGCCAGCTCTCTGATGGCCCCTGCCCCTGCCATGTCGGGGTGGCCAGCTCAGCCCCTCCTTCATTCATAAGGCACTCCCGGGTCACGCTGCTGCTCCAGCCTCCACGGAGGCACACACAGGTACACAGCCCTTCCTCTGGCAACGCGAACACCTGCTTGAGGACTACGCCATCTCCCTGTCCCAGCAAACACAGAGGGTGTCTGGCTGTAGGCCCTGCTGCTATGGACCCGGAGACCTCCTAGGGTGAGCAGTGCCACCCACACCAGAGTGTACCATGCCTGTTTCCCACTCAAGCTCTCTTGCGGGGGCCGGCTGGCGCGCCAGCAGACGCAGGCACATGCTCTTAAGAAGCCTTCTGATACCATCCTGCTCTCCAGTCCGGCGATGGACTGGAGCGATGTTGGGGACCTTGCTGCCCTCTGCCGTCTAACCCTCCATCCTGGGACTCTTAGTCATTCCCTAGCACCATGAACGCCTGGTCCAGGGCTCGTGGTAGTTTCCCACTCTAACTTAACCTCATCATTGAACTCCAGAGAACTCGGGGTGGCCCAGATACTGTGACGTTGCTTACGGAAATTGAAGAAACCAAGGCGTACTCAGAATTCACAGCTCAGGAGGAATGTAGGGCTTTGCCAGGCCACCTGGACCTGGGGAGAGGAAAGTCTCTTTTTCTAGCCAGGAGACAAGATGGGTTTGCCCAGAATCTCTCTACAAGGAATGAAAAGGGGAGCTGGGTTTCCTCCGGCTTTCATTCTAACTCCTTTGGTGGAATTTAAACAGTAAACTTCTTAAGGGTGGAGCTTTGTCATCTATCTTTTTCTCTCCATTGTATAGTATTCAGTATATAATCTTTAAGTGGGGAGATGCACAGATTTCCTGGAGTGGTAAAGAGAAGTGGGTCTAGAAGCGCGCCTGTAACATAAGCTCGGGCATGCCACAGTTCCGTGGATGCCTCGAGAGGTCACCTCGCTCATGCT